GTTTAAACAAATGTGCGTGGCGCTAATGCGAGAGCCACAGTTTGAAAACGGCCCGCCCTCAATCCGTGAAACCTTTCCAATGTTTTAACAAGAATGTGCGCGGCGCTAAGGCGAGAGCCCCTTTAAAAAAACGGCCCGCCCTCAATCCGTGAAGCTCTTGCACATTTTGAAAACGAACGTGCGCGGCGCTAAGGCGAGAGACACATGTTGAAAACGGCCCGCCCTCAATCCGTGAGACTCTTGCAATTGTTGAAAGCGAATGTGCGCGACGCTAAGGCGAGAGCCACATGTTGAAAACCACCCGCCCTCCATCTGTGACATTGCTGACATTGGTTAAGCTTCAGAGTCATACATGGTGGGGAAGTCTCAGGCGAAACGCCCGGCCCGCGCTAAAAACTGGCCCCGGGGTTGCGACAGGGAGAAGTTAATTATAAGGAAGACGAATGGCGGAGGGGGAGGAGGAGGAGGAGGAGGAGGAGGAGGAGGAGGAGGAGGAGGAGGAGAGGAGGGAAGGAGGAGGAGGAGGAGGGGGAGGAGGAGGAGGAGGAGGAGGAGGAGGAGGAGGAGGAGGAGGAGGAGGAGGAAGAGGAGGAGGAGGAGGAGGAGGAGGAGGAGGAGGAGGAGGGGGCGCGAGAGAAGGGGGAAGGAGGAGGGCGAGGGGGAGGAGAGGGAAGAGGGAGGAGGTGGAAGAGGAAAGGGAGGAGAGGGAAGAGGAAGGGTGGGAGAGGGAGGAGAGGGAGGAGAAGAAAAAAGGAGGAGGAGGAGGAGGAGGAGGAGGAGGCGGAGGAGGCGGAGGGGTAGGGGGAGTTGGAGGGGGATTTGTCAGAGATCACACGCACGTATCGCGCCCCCTTGCCCAGGATTGCTGGGGGCGATGCTCAAGTACGCGCTCCCGCCGCCTGGATCCCAGCCCTTCCAACACCCGCATCGCCTGCACACAAAGGGGAAATCAAATCTTTCTCGCATCTTCTCCCGCGCGCCCTGGGGGGGGGAGCGCGTCATGCGTTGCATTGTCGGGGGCATCGCTCTGCGATCGGCGCGGGCAGGGGCCTCGCGCGGGAGCTGTGCAGCCGTGTCGCATCGGCGGGTGTCTCGCTCCGCGGCGATTGGTGGCGCCTCGGGGCACCGTCACGCGTCGCGCCTCGCACAGTGACATAGCTGCGTCGCATCAGCGGGGGTCTCGCTCAACGAATGGTGGCGCCTCGGGGCGCGGTCAGTGCGCAGGGAAATCAGAATCGAGACAGCGCGTCGCGCCACGCGCGGAGACGCAGCTGCGTCGTGTCGGCGGGGAGCTCGCGGTGCGACTGGTGGCGCCCCGGCGCAGAGGCAGGGATCCGAAACGTGCGTTTCCACCTGTGGAGCCTGTCTCTCGCAAGCCCCGCGGATCGATGCAAGCGCGCCTGCAGACGCCGAGCAGCCTCTTTGGCCAGCAAGCACCAGGCGCCGCCATGCGAGGCCCCTGCGATGGGCAGCCGCCAGCAGGCTCCCGGGGCGGCCGCTGGCGCAGCCCCCCGCGAGGAGCCGGCTCCAGCGCGCCCAGGGGGCTGCCACACCACAGCGTTGTTCTTTCTCACGCGCGCAGCACACGCCCCGAGGGGCCGCCCGAGGCGTGATTCTCCACTACTGCGGCACGCCCCTGCCGCCGCAGGCCGGGGCGGATCATCCTCCCGGGCGGGGGCCGCGGGGGAAGGCGTGCCCCCTCTCGGCGGCCAGTGCGGCGAGACCACGCGGCGTGCACGGCTTGGGGCCTCGGGCCGTTCTCCGAGAGCGTCTTGGGCGGCTGGGGCCTCCGGGGCCCCCCCTTGAAAACGGCGTGCGGTGACGGACCGTGCGGTGAGGCTCGCGGGGATGGCGAAAAGTCACCGCGCGGTTTGTCGCCTCACCGCTCTGGAACCCCTAATGAACCCTCCCCGGGGAGCTTCGCCAGGGAGCCCCTGGAGCCCCCTTGTCACGATTTTCACTGTGGGCCCCCCCGCTCGGGGGCCCCCCAGGGCCGCTCGGACTTCTCCCGCGGTGTGCGTCGGGCTTGTGTTGCGCACAGCCGAAGGACGCGCAGCCCGCCTCCTTGCGTCGCTCTGGGGCGGGCAAGCATCACCTCGCCCGCCCTGGCGTTCGTCGGGCGCTCCGCCGAACGCGGCGCTCGCTCCGCGCTCTCGC